TGGAGGCATACTATATGAAAACTGCATACATACTCCCAACCTGGGTCAAGCAAAAACAGGAAGTTGACAAACATGAACGACAGGATTTAAGGCTCTTTGCCTTCATGCCCACATTGGCTCGAGCTCCGGCGAGCAAGTACCTGGGCAGTTCAGCTGGAGGACGAGAAACACGTGGGTTAAAGACCCAAAGATACACCTTCAACAATCAACTGTGACAGGGTCTTGACCAGTCCCTTGGTACTGATTGGCTGACTGATATCGATTGTCATAGGCCTCTTGGGGCGACTTACACCCAAGCTTCCCCGGGCTTTGAACGTTGAAGGCGCTTGCAAATGTAGAAACTGCTACACAACACGCAAAAGCCTAGGCTCACAAAGAGTCCAGGCAGTCCACGCACCTAGAAATAGTGTAGTCACAGTATCAGTTCATAAAACAAAACCACCGCATCATCAAACACTGGTTTCAGAGTCATTGGCGCATCTTCCTGAACAAGTGTGAATGCCAAGCGACTGCATGCCGCCATCTGTAAGCATCATCAGCAAATTGCCACCTCAATCCAAGCCATGCTGGGCTTTGGAGAAGAGAAATGCACCGCATGTTCAACAAATGAACCTTGCGGCCTTGCGGGATTCGTGACTGTACAATCTCAAGCAGTGCAAGATCTTAGGGCCTGCTTGACAGCAAAGCAACAGGTGGCAGGCCAAGACACGTTGCGAAGGCACCACGTTCATAGTAGTGTCCTCCGTATTGAAGCCAGCCTGCGCAGGATTTCGACAACTGCAATAGTTACAATTCTGGAAAAAAGAACACAAATCGACCTCAAGGAGGATGTTCAAAACTCATGACACAGTATATACAGTACTAAAAAGGGCTTGCAGCACTCAACCGCTAGCCTCCTGCGTCAAAGTAGGGCCTGCAGCGGGCAACATTCCCAAGAAGTCTATCGTGTTTTAAGAGTCTGAGTAATCAATAGTTTGCTACACAGTTGGAGATCGTCCATATGTTGAAAGCGTGAATTCACGAAACTTCAATGCAAGAGCGCAAGTATTGCCGTTGTTTTGCAGCCAACGCCTTGTTTGGTGCAAGTTGACAGAAATACGTGATCACTATGTATCAGTAGGAACCCTTTACCCAAGCTGTATGTTGAATTCCCCGGAACTTCAACCTCTCAATCAATGCGCTCAATCCCTCAATGCTCACAAACCAGTCTACTTCCAAAGGATACAAGAAACAAGCTTTCAAAGACTGCCTCACCATCCCTCCTGTGCCTGCAATGTCAGCAGCAGGCTCTTCAAGCTCCTTAAAGAGTTCCGGTGTTGCTGAGTGTCACTAGAAGTTACTTTTAAAAAAAATAAAGGACGTCCGAACGTTATCTTTGTCCACTCTTCCACGACAACCAAAGTCCGATTCGTCCATGAACCTCCACGACACTCAACATTGGCAAGTTGTTTTGCTCCTGGCCTTACTACTGTACTAGTAACAAGAAGCTACTAGGGGCTCCTGGCCTTACTACTAGGAGCAAGAACGTTACTAGGTTGGAGGCCATTCCTTCTAGGTTCCTTTTGCTACTACGTTGGAGGCCATCGCTTGTGGGTTCGCCTCTGCCATTGTGTGCTGGCAACCCGACCGAAGCAACGCGACTCTCCCACACCCGGTGGCACCTTTGGTGGTTCTGGCACCTTCGGCGGTTCTGGTGCTACCTCTGCATCGCCGGAACAAAGGACAAGCTTTGGGACGAAACACTAAAGTGCCTGTTTTTGCTGTCTTTCTACCTAATAGCTTCTTGTTACTAGCGATGGCCAACCTAATAGCGATGGCCTCCACCTAGTAGCTTCTAGCTACGTACTATATACTAGAAAACAACTTGCTCAACCAGAATCAACATCTTTGCCACCCATGCAAGGCCCAAAGGCAACTAAGTGCAGCAACCTGTGCTATAGATGCCCTCGCTCAAAAAAGACATACTTGTTATCATCTATCAAAGGAAATCCTGTGCTCAGGCAAACCGTTGATTCGATCAAATGCAGACTCGACCAGAAGTTGTGAAAACTAACCCCAAATGCAAAAGGCTTTATTGCACCTCGGTGGCACCAGCAGCTGCTCCTATGCTTGTATCCATAGGTTCTGCGCCGCCTTCCTGTAGTCAGCGTGACCATAGTTATCAAAAACGGATTCCAAAATGAGTTCTTGAGTTTGCAATGGAATCAAACTCACCAGAGCTTCACATCTGAGCAAACACCAACGGCCAAACAATGCACCTGTGGGACTGTAGGGACCGGCTCGGAGGCAGGGACCTTGGAAGATTGAATGCATCGGCAAAAAAGATCAAGGACGCCCCGTGCTGAAGCACCTGTTCAAAACATTATGAAGAAACATTGCAAATGGCAAATGGCAGCATCGTCAGGTGCAAGCAACAAGGATACAGAATGGATCGGAGCCACACTCTGGCCGCTTGCAATTTGACACACAGCGTGGTTTATGCGCAAGAACTCCAACTAAAACTCTAGAAACAAAACACCTTGGGACCTGCACAACCGCTATTGACATTATGCGCAGCTTGGGAACGGCCTCTGCGCCCAGCGCAGTGGCCTCAGTGTTTTGAAAACGCCCAACGCTGGCACGTCAAAGTGGCTGCAGCTTTGGATGTTTCTCCAAATCTAGAAAGGTTTGGATCTGTGGAAGGAGTCCTTCTACGTCCTTGCTACTCAACTTGTCTTGTTCCTCACCTCTCACTGCCCAAACTGACCCCCGAAAAAGAATGCGAGGGCAACAGGCTAGCGGCTAGTGGCTGCCGGCCTGGCCTCTAAGAGCCAACCCCAGCCCTGCTTTCCGTCACAAAGTGATGTTCAGTGTGGTTCAGTTTCACAAAGAATGGCAATAGGAACAGAACCCCAACAGCTATGAGGTATCACGAATTGAGATCTTCGAAAACCTACCAACTTCACTAAGTAGGCGCCTAGGTGGAGGCCATCGCTATTAGGTTGGAGGCCATCCCCATTACCGGTGCCTAAATTCAGGGAGAGTAAGCGACTAAATCACCGCCGCCTTGGTCCCTCACCTCCGCAGCTGCTGGAGGTGCTGGTGGCGGTGGCGCCGGCACCGCACCATCAGACGCCATGGCGACGAAGCACAAAAATTCCACAGGGAAGGACGGAAAAAGAAGCGAAGCAACACCTAGTTTGTTGAATTGGTAGGTGTGCAACAAACTAGCTGTTAAAAACCTATCGTTGAGGTTGATCTGGACAAAACTACTTCTAGCTAGAAACAGTGCAAATGACTGCTTCTGGTTTTGCTGGCCGTAGATTTAGGCAGTCAATTCATTGGACTCTGCAATGCATGCTGTTGGGTTTTGTGGAGAATCCACAGTTGCATGTCATGAGGCTTCTTGGCAAAATCTACATGTGAAGCTCATATATGTTTGAAGGAGTGAATCCTTCTTTGCTGCGGAGGCGCGAGCCAAGTCATTGCAAACTTCCAGGATTTGCCCAGTGCTCCAGCGAGCTTCATATTTGAAGGGTGCAAGGTTTTCCACAAAAACTTTCTACATAGGCAATATCAGCTGATGGAACTGCCCACCCGATTCAGAAATTGTCACACTCTGTCAGCCGCTCACAACACTTGGTGAAAGACTCACAAGAACATGTCATGTTGTTATTGCAGTTTCAGTAAGAAAATATGACCAACCTAGCCTCCAAAATTTACTGGAAAAGTGTCAACAGGGTATCTGTGTTGCATTGATGTACTTTGCAAGAGACAGATTTCATAGTTGTCACATCGGTCTCTTCATTTTCATTATCATAAAGAGTTGGATAAAAGGGTCTCCCAATGAAAAGCTCACAGCTCGGATTGGCCACCCAGCATGTTCTCCGTCTTCCACCTCAGTCCAAAAGAAAAGGCTAAAAAGTCAACCTTGGAAGACTTCAAAAGTCCACTGTGCAACACAAAGAACAAGAAAACCTTCTTCTTGAAGAATATGATCTTGGCCTCTCTGGGAGTCCACACAATTGGGGACGAAAGAAGGACTCCATCTTCGTTGGCCAGCCGGCCTTTCCCTGCCGGGGGTAAATGTCATGTGGAAACAGGGACTATCACAGCAAAGTAGTGAAACTACGCAGCAAAAACAAAGAAGCTTCTCCCACAATACCTCGAAACACAAGCAGCACATGCAAGAAGATCGTGGAAAACCTAGGCCAGAAGAAAGCTCGACTATAGAAAAATGTCGTGAACTTACCCTCTACTTGTCAACTGTTTGCAACACCACACAGGACCTTAATGAGCTTGATGCAAGTGGAAGATGTTATATATGCTAATTGAGTATTGTTCAGTTCATGTGTACAGGTCTCAGTCGAGGCCACCCTTGTCTTTCAATCAAGATTGGGCCAAGAAGGGTACCTGCCCGTCCACCCACACCTGTCAAGCTTCTCGCCAAAGCAAGGTCGTGCACCGGCAATCAACTAGTCTGTGTTGGATGTTGAACAGAATCCGATGACATGGAAACTCTGAAAGCTTTTGCAGCACCCATTGAATAAATGTTGGTTTTGGAGGGGCAAGCAATCTGCCTCCTTTGAAAAGTGCTGTGCATGCCCGGCCTCTCCAAAAAAGACAATTGGAGGTTGTATAAGTTTCTAGTCTTGCTTCATGTCGTGTGATATCACCAAGTGGCCGGGTCTTGATGCGTCATTCTTTTCTTTGGTCTGCCTTCTGGGTCTTGGGTCTATTTGATCTTGCTTGACAAGAAAAATAGAGTCTAGGGACCATGAAGCATTTAGGTTCACAAGCTGCAAGCCACCAAACGGCGGTCAGTGAGATAGGAAGGAATAAACCGCAAAACTTGCGTACCAAGTACAATATAAAATAACAAGTATTGTCCACACAAGCATTAACCATCACTGCGCTTGCCCCTGAATCAGCCTCCCAAATTCGGCAGACCTCCTCAGACTTCCAAAGACTAATGACTCTTTGGACCTTCAAGGCCTGGAAGTTCAAGCCATCTTTTTCAGCTTGGCGCCAGGGGATCGAAGTCCAGGCCTCTTCACCAAGCAGAATCACTGCTGACACCGCTTCCGATCTCAATGGGCCAGTCTGATAAGCTAGTCTTATCGGGCAAGATCTCCTATCTGGGCAAGATGCCTTCACTCTTTCATTTGGTTCTGAGCAGTGGGCCTTTCATCAGGCATTTGTTCATCTCTGACAAGTCGAAATATATTCCTAATGGGGTTGGCCCGTCTGGGAAAGCACGAACTCTAAGGGTTTGTCATACAAGGAGATATCTTGGAATTATCTCAGCACAATAAGCCACAACTGGAAACAAACGAGGGTCCCTATGTGCCTAGCCGTCTGGAGCCACGTTCTTCTGCCTACGCTGCCGGGCGGGAAAGGCCACTACGTCGTGGTAGCCATTGTTTATATGCTCTTTATCAATCACTAGTTTCGGTGCTCGATGGAGCATGCCTGTATAAGATCTATGACAGGTAATTGGCTCAATTAAGTATTCAACAAAGCCGATAGACCAAGTACACTAGAGAGACATACAGTAGTGCTGTGAGCACGAGCTAGTAAATGGCCATGGCTCACAACTAGGGCACCATTGAAACTTGTTATATGTTGAAAACATGCCCAGAATCTGCAAGTCCCAGGGTCCCAGGATCTTGTCTTCTGGGCATCCAATATCCAAATGTTTTGCATGAGCTGTTGCAGCTTGGCAGGTACCTCATCCTTCTGCAGCTTACTCCATTGGACTGTTTCTGATTCCTCAGCTTCCTCTTCTCCTCGGTCCCACATGGTCCACATGGTCATTCTATTGTCATGAATCACATGAAACGTCCCCAATGTTCAAAGAGGTTTGTACCAGGGTCGCATCAGTCCAAGCAGCTTAGAGCCGCCTCAACCAATTCTTGTACCCAAAACTTGGGTTTTTCCACCTGAAGTCAGGACAGGAATGAAGAATCAAAGACGGCAATATGTTTTTGGTGAAAAATAAACATCTCTCAAATGTAAATATATTTATATATACACAGTATAATACTGAATACTGTATCTATACATATATATATATATATCCAGTATACACGTTGAACCAGCCTCTGAACCGCAACAAACCTTCTGAAAGAATCTTGGTCTGAAGGCCTCTTCAGCCTGGGTCTCCACCATGGCATCGTCAGTGGTCGCCAGCGGTTCCTGAAAAAACATGTGTGAGAACAACACAAGCAAAATATCCGGAAGGTTCATGCAGCTGAAAGTTCAACAAAAGTATGTTGCAGTATGCTCAATAGATTTGCATTGGCTTTGGGATGGAGAACAATTGCTGTGTTGGGTCACTGGGACAGGGCTGAAGGGAATATGTGCTGATCCCCAGCCTTCGCATACTCTGCAAGACAGGAATTGAAAAACTGCTGCAGCACTTCTTTGGCTTCGGATCCGCAGCCTTCACATGCATTATGCAAAGGATGCATCCCTGCGTCTTAATACAACTGATTTCAAACAAGACAAAGAGTACCCAAACCCAAGCATCCACCAAACTCAACGCTGGCTTTTGTGCAAGGATGCTGTGGAAAATGACATTGCCGAACATGTCTGCTCAAGACAATCTTGCAGGCACCCACTTTGGAAAGCAATAGTTCTGTGTAGGTGCCGCAAAGAAGTCCCAATGAAGTGACATTAGAAGTCCCAATGTGGCCAACGTGGCACTCTTGGCTGAGACCCAAGCCCTCGTCTTCATGAAGAAAAATGAAAATCTGCTTGTGCCCAGCTTGGCCCTTTTCCAGGTGGAGGCTCTCGATCTCCTTGCCTTGAGTTTCATCGAAAGGCTGTTGCACATTCGTTTCAATCCTTCCTGTTTGAACATCATGTCTTTCACAAACAGAACACATCAAGGTCACAGCTGGTGACGACTGCGTCGCAGGTGCAGGAAATGTCTGATTTCGATCATACTGGTCCTACTGGCCGCTTACTATGGAAAACCCAGCCACAAGCAGTGAAGCATAGAAAAGTTGCATGCAGTCTCGCAAGATATGAACCATCCGACTGGAGACAAGACCGCGAGGGAGCTGAGAGACAAGGTCAAAAGAGGCAACTAGGGATGCGACAGTTCAAGAGCAGAAACCCAGCAAATCACAGCCGGAAAACACGATCGTGCATTCACTTCATAGCAAAACCCATGTCTGCCTCCCCAATGTCTAGATTCTAGAAGAGCAAAGGATTGTATGGATCTCCTCACTCTCACGCGCCAGGTGCGAACTCAGCCGCACCACGCCTTCCCAGTGAATCGTGTGCCATCCAAGACCCGCTTCGACAATCACCTTCAACTTCAGCCTCAGTTGTTTCACTTCTCTGAGCCAATTTTTGTCGACTCATTGATGTGTTTTGCACTCTTGACGGCCTTGTATGTGTGCGTATGCTTCAGACCACCGATTTTGAACACCGGCCACACAGCGCACTGGCGATCAGGCCTTGATAATGGTGTGTAAACTGGGAATTGTGTCTTTTGCCAAAAAAAAAGAACCTTCGGTCCAAACTGTGAGGATTCAGCCACTCGCGGCCGTTTGCCAAAATGGACCAGGCTGGGTTTGCCAAACCAGTCAAAGGACTGCACCCACTTGAGCTCCAGGCTGTCCAGAAGGCATCAAGGCCTGGAACGAACATCGAAGGCGCGAACGTTGGGCTCCCCCCAAATCCAAAACGTCGAAGTGCCCCAAAGCTGGACCAGAAGTGCCCAAGGCGGCTTTGCACCACTTTCATGATGAGAAAAAGAAAGCGATAGAAAGACTCGGAATGACCAAAACGTAGTGGAAACAGAATTGCTGCTGAGTGTGCCCCGGAGTCTTTGTCATTAATTCGTCAGCAGCCATTGATACGAGCGGCAGCAGTGGTTGCAGACAAATAGAAAATGCTATAGCACTGGAAGTGTTTCAGACCGGCATGTCTGGGATTGTGCGTCCGAACTCTCAATCTACACAAAAATGCAAACACTGCCAGAAACAAGTCTATTCCAAACCAATGGTTCAAGAATACCGAATACCTCACAACCTTTTGACAAACAAGCTTCTGCCAGACCTTTCCGACATTTCGACAATTTCCTCGACGCTTCGGGTGTAGAACTTCAGAACTTCACCTGATCAGTTCGACCTGACTTTTTTTTAATGCTTTAGAGTCTAGAGTATATTGCCATCCCAGCTAGTCAGCTAATCAAACCATTATTCTTCCAGCCTGGCGCATCTGCCAAGACTGCCCCGTTCCCTCAGCAGCCAGAGGTAGTTTCTGAAAGTGCATGGCGAAGACACAAGACAAGTAAAAGCAAAAGGAAAGGTGCTGATCTTTGCACAGGCTGAATTTCCCAGTTGCTGCTTCAGAATTTAGGCTAGAAGCATGAGTTCCAATGAATCGCACGACAGAGTTGTAGAGTTCCTGAGTTCTACAAAGCAAGCAAGACACTCTTGGCTCGAAAAGCATCAGTAAGTGGGCTGGTGCCAAGCATGTCTCAACTGCTTGCAAGCGAGAGCACCTTTTTGTGGGGTCAAGGAAGAGTTACATTTGGGAACATGCTTTTCCCGTTGATCTGTGAAAGGTAGCCCCTTGCATCGTCACCCCTCCAACATAGGATCTCGACAATAAAATACAGCAAGGTATATATGTCAAATCCTGAACTTGCCTTGCCCACCCTCGTTCCTTGCCATGCATGATACATCTATATCTCTATCAATCAAAGCCTTTCATGGGATGCCTCTTGAAGGACCTCAAGATCACAAGCCAACTACCCGTCGGAGGTCAGGGTGGGGCTTCAAGAATCCACCAGTGGCAGCAAAGTGGCCAAGTCTTCTTTGCTATCTACCAGCCCAAAAAAGACCAGATGAAGGCCAGTCCTCAAATGTGTGCGGTGATTTGATGATGGAGCCCTAGAACTAATCGTCAGGACAGAGCTCGTGTCAATACTTCAGACCAGGAGATGGTTACATGTATCAGGCTCCATAAATAGTGCGGGATTTGTGGGTTAGATATCCCTCCTCCCAAACAACTGCGGAAGCTACAGACTCAATGCTTTCCTGACCGCGCCATGAATTCGTTGTTACTGTACCAAGCATGCAGATCGAAATAGAAATCTGACCTCTTATCGGAAGAGTGTCATCCTCTGTTCAAACTTCAATCCAGCAGCATAGCCGGCAGGGAAAGGGCTGAAGCACTCGTTCCCGTTCCCAGGCTTGCTCTCAGATAAGTGTCCCTGGCAACGAGAAAGACAACAAGGCTTGCAACATCAAAGCAGAACACAAGCTCTGGAGAATCCGATAACTCTGCTGTGCGGTGTAGAATGGTGTAGAAGTTGAACGCAACGGAAATCCGTGACGAAAGGTAGTTTCATGAAGGTTATCTCAACAATTTTCAAGCATGCTACAATGAAGAAGCGAACTTCTAGCTACTAAAATCATTCATGTGTCTTTTTTCTGCACGCCATCACGTGCTGCTGAATTCATACCTTCCCTATCCAGCAATTGAATCTAAGCTAAGTGAACCTTTGCAAAGCTGCGGCATCTCTTGCGAAGTGGAATTGCGCATAGGAAGCCTGATTGCTTGCCACAATTGCAACGGACAGAGAGGCAAACATGGTAAGATGAGATGTCTAGTCGAGGGATGATAGTTGCCTGATCTGCACAATGCAACTGAGCATGTTTTTGATCTTCACCCAATATCTACAACACTGAACATCTGACTCGAACACCTCATATGTCTGGCTTTGTCACCACGTGAAACCTCTGACCGGAAAGGTTGGCGTCTTGTGTAGCTAAAGCTGCGAAAGTGCTTCACTTCACGTTGAATTGAAGGATTGATACTATATCATACGGTCAAAGAGAGACCTCAGCTCACTTGTGTTTGCATTCCCAAGCATCTCCGCCTCCAATGATACATTGAGCCCCAGCACGCTGGCATTTGGCAAACCGCCTTCGAGTTCAAAGGCGATAAAATAGAACATAACACGAGGCAACTGCAAAGCGCTGAGAGTGTGTCGCACAACTTGCAGCAATTCTGCACTACCGAGTCCATGCTGCAAATTGTCCGCGACCATACAGTAACTCCTGAATTCAGAAGGCTGCAATTCCGATCCGAGGCCTTCCTGATGTCCACAAAGCGCTGGGACTGGTGCTTATCCTTGATTGCAAAGAGGTGCCTCTTGAATGCACAAAGTCATGGACACTGTTCACTTTTATGTGCAACAAGTGGATCTTGAAGTATGTGATTGAAGAATGAAACCATTCTGAATGCTGCCAAGAAAGTCTGCACCCTGCACCATGCTTGTCCTCACGACATCTTTACCAATGGCACGCTCATGGCCAAGGCAGGTCGCCCAAAGCCCGCCAACAGTAGCCATCTAACGTTGAAAGCCTTCTGCCACTTCTAAGCATAGCCGTAAGTAGGAAGCCTTAGCCCTTTGCTTAATACAACAGATGTTGGCCTCAAATGCAGGTTTATAGCAAAAGCTAGTGGATGCTGTCCAATATTCTGAAGCCGCCTGCTCACTCAAGAGGGTCATATCATTATGTTCATGAATTCGGATTGAACAGGCTGAGAAGTGCTTGTCATGCCAGGTGACTGAGGCTGAACGCTCCTCGTCATATGCTGCAAATTATCACAAGTTTCAAAGTTTCCTAGCTGGTCCAATCAATTTGGTATCTAAATAGTGGATGAAAGTCCGCCAACCAGTTTCCTGGCGTGGATCCATGTGCTATTTTTCTGTCGAGATGGCTCTCTGTACAAGTTGAAGCCTCTTGATAACAAGAGGTTGCATTAAGGTTTCCCTTTGGGAAAACTAGACTTGCCTCACCCATTTTGGGTCTCTAGTCCTTCGGGTCTAAAAATCAATGTGTCTGCGATGCCTGTGGCATTCCAGAGGACAGGCTCATGATCCCAAAGAGGTCTTGTGTGGAACCTCAAGCGATCTTGCTGCAATATGTTCCTCAAGCTGTGCCACCCTCCTCATCAAAGACTGATTCTGTTTCACCAAAGCTATGACATGTGCCCCAGCATTCAGCTGGAGGTGCTGATCAAGCTGATCCATAGCAAGCTTTTCCCCACAAAGCTCACAAGTGATCTGCTCGTTGCATTGATGTTTGGGGTGCAGTGGAAGCTCCTCCAGCGGTTTCTTGTCACGTTTGCTGCCCTTGCAATTGACGCCTTTGGAAAGGCGGGTGTCCTTGTACCGTCCTGGGCGTTGTGGGTGCAGGGTTACTTCGGTACCTCGAGGGCATCTAATCATGAAGTTGGAGATTCTGCATGCTTCTGGGGGGGGCTGTCCAGACTTGCCTTGCATCCCGGCCACATGTCGGACAATCACCACTATTTGCAGCGCATGGAGCCCAACAATAATTACAAAACAACTCATTGCACTCATGAGCACAAGCCTCCTGATCAGTCATACCAGGAATACCATCATCCAGAAAGCGTCCTTTTGCCCTCTCGCCATCTTCGCATTTTCTCAACTCTGCAGTGGACCGCGATTTCACCACATACTCTTTGGATCCAAGTGTAAGACCTCCATCAGCAATGACCAAATCATATTTGCCTTGAGCACCTATGCGGTATCCGTAGGTTTTGTGACATGTCTCTTGACCGTCCCATCTGACACGAATCCATCCCTCGGCATCTAGCCCGTCCACTGTTGTCCCTTCACCTTCTTTGTCTTCTGCGCCCCATTTCCAATCTGGCCCTCTCCGCACTCTTACACCAAGTTGTTTTGTCTTCAACAGCAGACCAACTGGACGGAATGACTTCAGACTTCTTGCCGCCTTCATGGGAGTGGTGGTGAATGAACCGTATATGGCAGCTGGGCCGCAAGCACTGTTCGGTGATATTCGTGCAAGAAAACAACCTACAATATGTCAGAAGGCAACCTCTTACAAAGCATGTTCCCTTGCGACCTTTCGTTGATCACACTTGCACTTCAATAAAAAGAGCATTGCTGTTCAATGCATGTCACAATAACCGACAAGCGAGATCTTTTCAGCAGTGGGCCCAGCCGCAGACCTGGAAATTGGAACTCAATCCAAACAACACAAGACTTGTCAACACCTGGCAAATGGAAGTCTGGGAGACTCACACATCACATCTCCATGCACAACACTCAAAGCGAAAACATTCACTTGTTCTACACAACACTTTGGTTTGACTGATTGGGCGACAGCACCAGGACACATTTCCACCAAGTGGGCCCTGGAAACATGATTTACGTGCAACAATGACTGTACCAATTTTGAGCATTGAGATTGCCACACTGCTGCACGATTGATTTGATCTGGTTTGGGTGTTCTGGAGGCTGAGATATTTGCACGTTGCGTCCAATGATATTTGCATACTGGTTGCATGCCCCGCATTCGACTTGCAAATGGTGTTGGAAGTTGTTTCATGATGACCAAATTCTGCAAGTCCGAAAGAATTGCGCATGACATTTCAGTCAATTTGGTGCAAGTTTGTCTTTCCAGGTGAGCGCCTAAGTGACATGAAGTCTCAGTCCCCAAACATGCACAAAAATGAACGCGAAAAACGAAGACATCAAAGCACAAAGTGTGCAAACAACTGCACAACATGATGGGTTGACATGGGTAAGTGCAGGGATCAGTACAAGGACCACTGTCTACCACGCCCGGCTTTCATCACAGCTTGATCAGGTCACAATCCAAAAGGGTTTCACAAACAGCGGGAAATTATCAACGGTAATCCATTTCCACTGTGGCCAGGGCACCCATGGAGTCCTGATGAACCGCTTGCAAACCATGTATCCGAGCGGAAACCTTGCAGTCACAAAAATGGGACCCACGAACCCGAATGCAAACATGCACTCGAAAACAAACGGCCAAACTTTTTTTGACACTCCTGAGGGACACTCTTGTGAGACACTCTTGTGTGCGGTGCTCTGGTGGGACACTCTTGCAGAACACTCTTGTGGGACATTCTCGTGCGACACTCTTGTGGGACACTCTTGCAGGACACTTTAAGGGAGATTCTTGCAGGACACTCTCGTTGGCTCTATATTTTTGGTCTTGTAGAGGCAATCTAGTCACGGAGTTAGTGATGTCGTGTCCTGTCAGGAGAAGAATACTGTTGTAGTTACAAACGCCCTGACATCGAGCGCTTCACCTCTCACAGCCGCTGCCGCGTGTGGATCAAATCTTGTCTTTCGTTCTGTGCTCCTGAGGTTTCGTCATGTTTTTTTTCTGCCACGCACCCTGAGGTGCCGGCGATGGTGTGGTTTTCACTAGTTGTTTGATTCGACCATCACTTTCACACCCTGACTGCACTACTCCCACTCCTCCAGTGTTCCCAGTGTGACTGACGTCTGATGGCCATGGCATCCAGAAATGCTCCATTGCCTACTCAACGTTATGCACGGCAGTTGATCAGCACGGTTGAACTCGGTTCAGACCCCGTTCTTGACGTGACTCCACATTGCCAGATGCACACATGGCCTCTCGGTGACTGGATTTGAACTTCACATTCTAAAGTGGAAGTTTGGCGGGTTTCATCACCCAGTTTGACTGACACAACAAAACACGCCACAAGAAAAGTTACCAATCATTCGAAGACTGTATATATGCATGCACTCGAAAACGCTACAAAACGCTTTGAAAAACTTCAAGACTCAAACTGCAGTGTTGCGGTCAGGTTCCTTCACTTTCAGAACACAAACCAAACAACACAAAACAACAGAAACCAAGCAACAAGCACGAGCGAGGTGGCTATCCAAAACCAATGGATTTCTTCACCCCCCTCTTGGACAACTTCGCTCGGAACAACAGGCTGACATCATCAAGCTTTCTTCTTTCTCAACAAGAACAGAAGTTGTTCGACTTCTGAAAGAACCACGATCGCGACTGGTGCACCATGAGTAGAGATGCAGATGTGTGAAGGATGTAAAGATGAGCAGAGATGTGGATGCGCAGATGAATATGAGCAGAGATGTCGATGTGCAGATGTGAAGATGAGCAGAGATATGTGTGAGAATGTGATTGTGAAGATGTGAAGATGTAGGTTCTGCAGATGTTTTTTTCACGAAGAATCCGGAGATCGTGCGTGTCGAGCGCGCGAATCTGCAGGCAAGAGTGCGATTTGGTTTTGTCGCAGGCAACCCTCTGCGGAGATCGTGCGTGTCGAGGGCGCGAAATGCAGGCGAGTGCGTTGGTTTTGCCACGGGCAACCCTCTGCAGAGATCGCGAATTTTTTTTGCACGGGTGGAGACGCCATGTGTACAGGTCATCTTGTGCTACTTGCAGGTGAGTCATCGGCCAGGAGAAGAACACAGAACCCAACAAAACAAACAACCAACCAAACACCAACCAAACAAACAAACAAACAAACAAAGCGAGCAACCAACCTGGCCAAGACTCAAGCGGGTCATGCAGACGTGAAACAACACGATAGAGGTGAAACAAGGGGCGTCGAATTGCGCAAAAAGGCCTCTCAGTGCAAGTTGTGCATGTCTCGACAATATCAAGGTCGGGCAGCAATCTTGCGAGGTGTTGGGGTGCCTTTGCGCGACCCGTGTAGAGCATGGTACTGGATAGCCAGGCTTCATCTCTGTGTATGCCTCATTGCTGCAAAGGCTGGAGAGGCTTGGACAACCAACTTCCTGGGTCACCACTTGCGAGTGTGGATGGTAGGCAGGTATGCATCGGAATTCCACTGCGGAAGGAGTCCAATTGCTCCAAACAAGTAGGCTCATAGCTTCCAACAGTGCTGCCTGCGGTTGTATAATTGCGATGCGACTTATTGAGCAGCCAAGCGCCACTCGACCCTCGCTATGTGAGCAAGCAAGATGCAGGACGCAGCTCCCCCCCCCAGGGGGAGGGACATAGCGACCTTGCGGCGGTGCATCTCAAACAGTTGCCAAGAGAAAGGCGCGAAAAGGCAAGGTGGCAGTCACAAGTGGTTCCTTGGTGAAGCATGCACAGCCCCGATTCTACAGTGAAACAGCGTTAGCTCACAACAGGCTCTCACACTCGTCCGGTACGGTACGAAACCTTTCTCTCAAACCTCCGAATACTTCGGAAAACTTCAAACGCTGCGCAAGCTGCTCTCAGACACTCGCACCCTTTTCTCACACTAGCCAAACGAATTGGCCTTGAGCCAAAACATATCCCGTAGCACTAAACTATACAAAGAATACACGAAAACATATTAAAAGTCTCTTAAAGCATCTCCACACACAAAGAACTCTTTCAAAACTTCCGACTACGCTACAAGTCGCTTTCAAACAATTGAGAAACAAAATGTTGTGCTACCGCCAGGTTCCAAATCTTTCACAAACAAACTTAAACGAAATTTATGCATCGCAAACTGCAAGCATCGAGCGAGGTGGACATCCCGACATGGAATTTCTTCAAATTGCG